GAGTTGGGTGAATCTTTCTTACTCATAAGCTGTCCAAACCTTTCCAATTTTGTTCTCATTGTTGCTACTGCAATGGATTCCCAATCAGTTTGGGAGAGAGGGGCTGAAGAATCTCCTATAGTGGCTACATTTGCATTTCCCTTCTTGTTTCTTATCCGAGAAGGCATAAGATTTGGATGAAGCTTCCAACAAGTGTCCCTAGTATGCTTAAGCTTCTTGCAATAATCACACACCAAGTCCTTCTTATCCTCCCTTCTAGACTCACTACTCCCCCTGTCTCCATTCGGCTTACGTTTTGTTGTACCAACCATAGCTGACTGGTCAATCCCAGGCTGTCTCAACATTACATTCCTCCTACTCTCCTCTCCAGAGACAAAAGCATAGGCCTGAGAGAATGTCACACCCTCCCTAGAAAGAATATGCTACCTAGCAATGTCAAATTCAGGGTTCAGCCCTGCCAAGAACTCAAAAACCCTATTCCTCTCTACCAGTACAAAGACATCTGGCCACCCCCTTCACTTATTATTTATACTAAAATAATAGAACAGTACAAAGACAACTATGCCCTTATAGGGTGGCAAAACATAAAACAACATATATAACACTCAAAAACATAATAAAATTTGGACTCACATAACTACTGTGGTCCCCACCTCCTATCTAACAACTAACATAAAACATCTACTCAGAAAAACATCATAAAACTAATTAATCTTCGACAAGAAGAATAAAGATGCATAACAGTAGTTCGAAGGGGCAGGGGGCAAACCATTTTCTTTCCCCTTATCTTTTCCTCCCCTCTCTTTCATTTTATTTTCTTTCCTTTTCTCTTTTTTTCTTCTCCTTCCTTTCCTTTTCTTTCCCTTTCTTTTCTTTTCCTTTCCTTTCCTTTCCTTTTTTTTCTTTTTTCTTTTTTTTTCTGCATTTTCATATCAGATGTGCATGAGGCGCAAGAGGCGTACGCCTCTAGCATGCCTTTTAAAATACTAGTTTAAGGCGTACGCCTCCCACACCTTTTAAAACACTAGTTTAACCCACTGTTATCCTTCTAATAATTATTGACTAATCCAAGACCTGAAGGCACCATGCCCCCCTTATCAAGATCACCATTCAAAAAAGCATTCTTCACATCTAGCTCATGAAGGTTCCATGAGAAGTTTACAACTAAAGAAAAAAGAACTCAAATTGAGTTCATCTTGACCATTGGTGCGAAGGTTTCGTTATAATCCACATAATACGTTTGAGAAACCACTTAGCTACCAACCTTGCCTTATACTTTTCTATAGAACCATCCATTTGATGCTTCACGTTGAACATCCATTTACAACCAATCGGATTCTTTCCCTTTGGAAGGTTAACAAGATCCCATTTGTGACTTTTATGAAGGGCATGAATCTCCTCAGACATAGAACTCTTCAATTTAGGTAATTCCAAAGCCTCAACAACACTTTTAGGAATACAGACACTACAAATAGTAGAAACAAGGCACACCGCACAATAACCAGGAGACAACGAAGCAGTGGAAGTAAAGTGTGTAATTGGGTGCTTGGTACATAACCGTACACCCTTACGAAGAGAAATAAGAAGGCCAATATCATTAGGAGAGGGTTCAAAAGTACCTGAAGGATGAGTAGGGTGAGGATATGCCTCGCGAGAATTTGATGGCATTGGAAGTACATCTAGTTCGACACCTATATCCAGAGACTGATCTAACAACTGACCTTTGTGACGATTATAGTGCAAATAAACCCAAAAGAGGCTGCTGAGACAAGGGAGGCAATTGAGACGAGGAAGGCTAAGATGGAGGAGGCTGAAGATGAGTTGGAAAAAGAACATGTCTCACTTTACTACTACTCTCCCCCTAAGGTGAGGTAGAGGAAAAAGGACAAAACTCAAAAAAGCAAACATCCATAGAAATGTAAACCTTCTTAGACAAAGGGCCATAACATTTATACCCCTTTTCAGTGGAAGGGTAGCCAATGAAGACACAAGGGATAGCATGAGGTTCAAGCTTACCAGAAGTAGAAGACAAATTTTGCACATAACATTGACATCCAAAAACACGAATGGAGATAAAGAACAAAGGGGATGAAGGGAAAAGCAACTGATGTGGGGCCTTAAATTATAATAGTTGTAAGCATGTGGTTAATCAGGTATGCCACAGTAAGAACAACATAAGCCCTAAAACACTTAAAAACATTCATTTGCAAAAGTAAATTATGAACCACCTCCAGTAAGTGCCTATTCTTTCGCTCTGCAACACCATTTTGTTGAGGTGTTCAAGGACAAGAACTCTAATGTAACACCCCATTAGTTTGAACATAAAAATTGACATCATTAGTGAAATACTCCTTTGCACTATTTGAGTATCAACACGAAATTGTATAAACGCCATGTGGTGGAAATTGTATAAACTGGTTCCTTTCAAATAATCTAAAGCCACAGAATCCAAAATATAGAGACCATCTGTCATACATCCTTTACCAATCATTCTCACTGAAGTCAAATCCTAGAAAACACAAGAATTAGGAAAAAAATTATTAAACAATTCAAAGACTTTTTATACAACTAATAGAAAGAAGATTTAATGGCATTTTGGGAGCATGGTAAACATTGGACAAACAGAGGCCAAGGGGAAGGAAAACAACATCTTGACCCCCAATAGAAGACAAGGATCCATTAACAAGTTTAACCTTAGAAGTCATATGGTTTGTCACCCTGAATCGATGATCCAAGGTGATTGAGAAGGGAAGGATGAAACATGGAGGGCATGGGCTCAGTTATCTAAATTCACTGCATAAGAAGTAGAGGGAGTAATAAAGGTTTCCTCTGACATGCCCAAACTACTCAATCTGATCACACATAGTACTCAAAAGGCCTTCCTTAGGTACAAAAGCCAATGACTAAACTGGAGAAGTGTTACCCTAAGTCAATAGTTGTTGGCCATCCTAGCTGGGTGTGGATGAAGCAATACTAGCTGATTAGATCCCTTATTCTACTTCCCTTGAAGCTTCTTAGGCTTAACCATGTAAGTCCCAACAAAACTCTTTTGTGTTACCAAATTTCTTGCTTGCAATAATTGCACCATAACTTATCCTTGTCACCTCCTCCCTTCTTTTGTACCGAACATTTTTTGTTTTCACCCATGCACAATAAAGCGATATGCTCCCCCTAAATGGGATTCATAGCTTCCCTCCTACTTTCTTCAAATTGAACTAAAACAAAAAACTTCTTCAAGACCTGGAAGCTCCTTACCACCTAAAATTTGAACCCTAATTGGATCGTACACTAGATTCAGACCTACCAAGAAAGCAAACACACTTTCTTGAGAGTAACTTCTTATAGGCCAATGCATCCTCATCGCTCTTCCAATCAATAGTCTTGTAATGATCCAGATCCTTCCACATAGAAGTAAGATTTGAAACCACATAAAGTTTTTTTTTTAGAGCAATCTGAATTGAAGATGTTAGCGAAGACATAATCAAGTAATTCTCTTTCTCCCACATATCATATTCAGCTCCTTCATTGATAGGTTTCTAGGTCTTCCCGGTTACGTACCCTAGCTTTTCCCTTGCTCCAACAAACATCTTCACACCCTTGCACCACTCCAAGTAGTTCAATCCATCAAGAAGATCAAGAGACACATGAAAATGGAAATCCTACGCTGTCCAGTTCTAGCTTCAGACCTAACAAACCCTAAGAACAGTTAGAAGTAACAGTACTCTCTGAAGACATTGCTGGAACACACCACTACTATGTGAACAGCAGCTTGAAGAAACATAAACAAGCCTTTCCAGGCCACACACAACCACACAACTGTAACAACCCAAGGCGAAATACAAACCAAACACTCCCAACAGTTGATCCAAGAGGAGAAATATGAAAAACAAAGCACTTACCAGTAAACTGCAACGCTTATATCATATCTATAACATCACTGCAGTCCATTCCAACATACAGAACCTGGCCAACTCTACAAAATATCCCTTTAACCTGAGTTTAGAAACCAGAAAACAACAGCAAACAGTTGGCAGGAATCCTTGTAAACTGAGAGAAAAAACAGGTTAGTTCCAACACCTTCTCAAACCATAACAGACTTCCATCAGCCTATCATACACAGTTCAGATCAACCACAGCAGAAAATTTCCCTTTCAATGATCCAAAGAAGACTCCTACATGCTGCCATCATTTGAGCAACAGTCCAACCATAAAGAATTGGTCTTATGACCAAGAAATGAGGAAATGAAAAAAAAAAGAGTGATCAGATTAGTCTTCTATAGGGTTTGGCAGCTCCCAGATAAAGAAGGAATGCTTAGCTGAGGGAAAAAGGAGGAGGAAAAAAACTAGGGCTTTCTATAACAGATTAATGCTCTTATACCACGTAATCTGTTATGAAAGCCTTAGTGAAGGGAGGAGAAGAGAAGAGAAGAGAGAAGAGAGAAGTCAAACAAAGAGAAAGAAATCTCATGGGTAAGTGGTGGCGCCCACTGTAACCCTATTATATTATAAAATAAAAATATTTACAGAGTAGTTCCTGAAGTGAAAGAAATTACAAGATACCCCTCCATTATTGACACATTTTAAAAACACCCCTCACAATAGATTTACTATGCTGTCTTTCACAAAGCATAGCAGAAACCAACTATTCAATCAGGAGCTTTAGTTGCAATATATAATTGATATGAGGCAAGAAAATATCATTAGTTACTTGAAATATTGGGGGCTCCCATATTTGAACTTTCAACATTAAAAGGTTCTGGGAAATTTTTTGGCAAAAAGAGACAGATTCTGGAAAAATTGATCATCTTATTCAACAATCTAGGGCTGCAACTTGGACCAAGTTGGATTGGGAGTTTACTAAATTGTCAATGCACTTCAGACTAGTGTAGTTGAAATTCTTAAAATCAGGTCCAACTTGCAGCCCTATATGCAACAGAACCTGTATGAACAATAAACTATTACTCAAAAGGAAGGCACATATAAGGGGGATCAAAATGTACCATAGGCGCTTTGCAGTTACCCCTTCAAAAAATGCCAGATGCCCTCCATGCCTTGTGGTGGCTAGTACGATGTTTTTATTTGCCCTATATAGGATGTAAAATGAGGGACAAAGAAGAAAATTCTTACAAGCAAAAAAAACATGTTCAAACATATAACTAAGAGAGCATTCTACCTGCATTCATCCCAAGGAATAGCTTCCCTAGTACATACAGGATCATCCAAAGAACTGATGCATAGCAGTGGAACTGATACATATCCTACTAAGCTAGCACTGCTACAACGCCTGTAATATGTATCCACAGTCTGCAAAACAGGATATTCCTTTTAGCTAATCACAAATAATACCATGCAACAGCTTTTAGTTAAGCATTGATACCTCAAATTTGCCAATAAGACAAGTGGCATAGTTGTCAAAGTCGCGAACAGAACGTGACTGGTGAAATACAAGGGAGGTGACCATGCAAATTAAGTTAGTTGAAAAGAAGCAATTATATCAAACAAAGTTCATATTATTTTCTAGTTTCAACCATCAAATTTAACTTGAAGTGTATCTCCTATATTTGTTCTACAGAAATTTATTTCTTACCAGCTTTTCCAAATAAACCTTTGTTATTATATAGTGAAGAACTAAAACATATAATGGGAAGAAAAAGAAAAAGGTAGAGATGTGATACACAAATATGGAAATTAAGAGAAATTACATGAATAACATTGATGTAGGTACATCACAGAACCAACATCGTTATATGACTCCCAACATAGTGGAGAGTGAAACATGAAACATCCCCTAGTTTAGTTGTACGATAAATAAACTATTGTTAGTCAGTAGAGACCAGAAAATAGTTTCATAGAAAACTAAACAAAGAAGATACAAAGATTAAAAAATTCAGAGAAAGATCTCCCAATCAAGAATAACTTGTTTTCAGCATAAGCTGGTGTTGAGCAAAAGAAGAAGAAGAAGAAAGGAAGGAAGAAGAAGGAGAAGAGAAGAGGCTGCAGACTTAAGGCCTCAAAAGAACTGCTTCATGCGAGTGAAGCATTTGTATTTATACTATACTGGCCGTACAACACAAGAGGTCTACAAAATTACAAA